AACTGTATCTAATTAAGTGCCAGATTGTGTGAATCAAGATAAAAATGTTAAGGAATTTCCAATAGAGTAAGATGGAATAATTGCATGGTTTCTTAAAGAGGGTGACATTTGAACCTCACTGTAAGGCTGTATGGAGTTTGATTAGATTAAGTCATCTTCCTGTGTTTGTAATTGTCAGATGAACTAGACTGGAATTAAGGATCCTTCCAGACTGCAAGTATCACGATCAAACCGCATGTTTCTGAGGCTTATGGAGAGACTTGATTAACTCAGGCAAATAGTACATGTTGAGAGGAATAGCTTGGGTGTAACATGACAGAATGTTCTGTAGGGTCCTGAAAACCAAACCCAGAACTTTATTTTTTATATCATAAATATAAAGAGCTGGGCTGGTGAGATGGCTCAGTGGTCTAAAGCACCTACTTAGAACAAGCTTAGCAAAGCACAGGGACCGCGGTTCAATCCCCCAGCACCACATGCCAGCCAGCCCTGCCCCCTGGTGGGCTGAGCTGGCCACACACACAATAAATAAATAAATAAATAAATAAATAAATAAATAAATAAATAGAGCTACTGAAAGTTTTTGATAGAAAGCCCATCATTAAATTAGTTTCTGATGAAAAGCCCATCATTACATTAGTAGTGTAAAGGTTAACTTGGCAACCCGTGTGCGTTGTGCTCATTGAGGGGTGAGTGAGCCCCAGGGTAGGACTCTGAGTGAGAGACTGGCCCTGCGGTGGGGGATGGAGTGGAATGCACGCTCACTCTCTGCACAGGTGGCGGCGCGTCAGGTGCGCATTAGCAAGAATGCTGGGGAGCATCTCAGTACAGGGACGTTGTTAGCATTGTGGAGAGTCTGAGAATGCAAAGAGGAGGGTCAGACTATTAAAATAGATGATTTAAAGGAAAGGTTTAGACAGGAAGTTGGTTAGGTGTGTTGAAAGAAGAAAAGGAGCAAAACCTACCTCTGAGGACTCAAATCTGGGATAAAAAAAGGGAGGAAAATTTAAATGGTAAAAGTGTGTTGAGTTTATACTTCGAAGTACTTTTTCTGTGATTACTTTTTTTTTCTTAATTCAGACAACCTTTTATCTAGAGTACATCCCTGACATCTCAAGCAGCAGATTTGGCAGTATTTTATTTCTTGATTTTCCTCTAAAAGAACATCTGTTATTGCCTGCCACAGCAGTACTTCATTTTTTAACTTTCCTCTAACTAAACCTCTGTTACTGATGTCTGCTGGTGTTAAAACCTGAAAGCTTCCTTTTGCAATTATCACTGAAATTTATTCTGCCCCTTTTAATTCTTAGCATGTAAGCTAGGCTAAGAAGTAACTGTTCCAGTTGATATAAAAGGTAACAAAGAACAGAATCTTTTCCAGAAGTATTTCAATATGATAGTGCTACTTGTAGAACGTTGTTACTCTAGAAGTACTACTGACATATTCTGTTGAGATATTCTGAGTGTTGGGAATGCTTTAATTCTCAGCAGTCAGGTCTGCTTAGGGTTAGCCTATGGTTGAGTGATGGGATGTGTGTTGTAACAGTACTTGATGTAGATTTTCTCCCTAAAATTTAGCTTTTACTTATCTGACTTTTCTTCATTTCTTAACAAATGTTATTTTACGTTGAACTTACTACTTATTTTGAAATAATTTCACACATACAGAAGAATTGAAAGAACAGTGCAGAGAACATCCTTGTGCTCTTCCCACAGATTCACCAGTGTTAGTGCAAATATAGCATTTTGTTTATATATACACGTAGTCACATACATCATCCATTTACTTACTTTTTCTGACCCATTTGAAATTTAGTGTCCCTTTACTCCTAAGTATTTTTAATGCATATAGTCTAACAGTCACAGTATGAATTATCAAAGACAAGAAGTTGAAAGCATAAACCACGTCACCCTGTGCAGTGGAAGAAGAAGAAATGCTGGTGTGTTCAGCGACATACATCTCAAATATGTTGTGGAGGTGGACAAAGCCAGATTCAGACATTTGCGTGCTATATGATTCCATCTGCATGACATTCTGAAAAAGGCAAAATTACAGGGCTTAAGGAAAATGACCACTGGCTGTCAGTGAAGATGGGAAGGAGCTAATTCTACAGGAGCTTGCCAAGGGAGTCTGGGGAGTGACGGACTTGGATCACACTTGCCATGGAGTTTGTTTATGCTTTAATAACTGTATACTTTTGCGAAAACTTATGTGGAGCTATGTACCAAAAAGAGTTGGAGGGCTGGAGAGATGGCTCAGTGGTCTAAAGCACCTACTTGAAACAAGCTTGGCGAAGCACAGGGACCGCGGTTCGATCCCCAGCACCACATGCCAGCCAGCCCCGCCCCCTGGTGGGCTGAGCTGGCCACACACACACACAATAAATAAAATGTAATA